TAATGAATCAGGCACGAGAGACTCAACGAATACCCAATACATGGAAACAAGCAAAAATAACAATGATACATAAAGAAGGAACGGACAGAACGGATGTAAAAAATTATCGCCCTATATCCCTACTTAACGTAGATTATAAAATATACGCGAGCATAATTGCTGAAAGATTAAAATATTTTCTTAAAGAATGGATCCATGAAGAGCAAGCCGGTTTTCTCCCACAACGGCAAATCAAAGATAACATTAGAACAGTGGTGAATGTAATAGAATATTATGAGAAGAATGTAGACAAAGAATGTGCACTCCTCTCATTAGACGCTGAAAAAGCTTTTGACCGAATAAATTGGGAGTTTTTTCTTGCACTAATTAAGGAACTAGACATGGGGTATCACTTTGTCAATTCCCTAGAAGCGATCTACAACAATCAGGAAGCAAACATATCGATAAATGGATGCACAACAGAGAAAATCAAAATACAAAAAGGGACTCGACAAGGCTGCCCACTGTCACCGTTGCTTTTTATTATGTCATTAGAGATCCTCCTCAACAACATTAGAAAGGATGATAGCCTAAAAGGTGCAAAAATACGAAAACATTCTTATAAGCTAAGAGCATTTGCAGATGACATCATCTGTGTGATAGAAGATCCTCTTGAAAAATTCGGACTGTGGCTGAACAAAATCGAAGAATTCGGCGCGGTGGCAGGGCTCACGATAAATAAAAACAAAACAAAATGGTTAACAAAAAACATAACCAAAGAGTGACAAAAAACATTGGAAGAAAAAAGTGGGATACAAGTAACGGACAAAATAAAATATCTTGGCGTAACCTTGACTGCTAAAAATTCCCATTTATTGAAAAACAACTACGAAATAAAGTGGAAAGAAATTAGTAAGGAATTGGAAAATTGGAAACGCTTAAATCTGTCCCTTTTAGGAAGAATTTCCGCTATCAAAATGACAATCTTGCCCAAGATCCTGTTCTTCTTTCAAGTGATACCAATAATCAGAAATGCCCAAGTGATCAAAAGCTGGAATAAAGAAATATCAAAATTTGTATGGAGAGGAAAGAAACCAAGAATAAGATTCACAAGTTTAATTGATGACAAAGAAAGAGGCGGACTAGGGCTTCCCGACCTGCAATTATATCATGATGCATGCGGACTACTTTGGGCCAGAGAGTGGGCCAACATCAACAAACCTAAAATACTAGCATTGGAAGGACATGACCTACGAAGTGGGTGGCATGCATACCTATGGTATGACAAGAAGAAGATCGAAAAGAATTTTGGAAACCACTTCGTTAGGTCATCAATACTTAGAATTTGGGAAAAATACAAAAATAAATTCTACCAAAAGACTCCTCTATGGATATCCCCGTTAGAGGCCTCCCAAAGAAGAGAACTGGGATGGGAAAAATGGCCCAAATATAAAGAAATTTTAAAGAAGGACAGAGAAGGATTCAAACTAAAATCAGTAGAAGAAATTAGAGAATCATATGAGGAAATTTCGTGATTTCAGTATCGACAGCTTAACGAGGCATTCAATAGAGATAAGAAAAGAGGATTCGAAACCAGTGAAGTACAATGGGAAAGGATTATGGTATCAGAAAAGAAAGGAGTAACAAAGCTATACAAAATTCTTCTAAACTGGAAAACAGAAAAAAATGGAATAAACAGTTACATTGCAAAATGGACGGACAACCTAGGCTACTCAATAGCAACACCGGCATGGGAAAATACTTGGAAGATAAAACTGAAATGGATCAATTCATACAGTTTAAGGGAAAATTGGATAAAAATGCTGTATCAGTGGTATTTAACACCAAGTAAACTGGCAAAATATTACAAAAACACAACCGAAAATGTTGGAAATGTAAAGATAACAAAGGCACTTTTTTCCATCTTTGGTGGACTTGTAAGAAAGTTAAAAAATTCTGGCAGAAAATAAATGACATTACGACAAAAACACTAGAATTAAGAATGGAGAAAAAAGCACAATATTATCTGTTAGGAATTCTAGACTTCGAAATAGAGGAGAATAAAGACAAACTCTTCTTCCACATGGCGACCACCGCGAGATTGGTGTTGGCAAGTAAGTGGAAAAACGAGGACATCCGAACGATAGACGAGTGGAGACTTAAGCTGATGGACATAATGAACATGGACAGCTTGACGCAGTATTTGATATCCAAACAGACGACAAGAAGAAAAACTACGGATTGGTCTCCAATAAGGAATTACTTGGATGGGAAGTGAAAAAGATAGGAATGATGAAAGGGAAAGAAAACAAGAAGAATGAAGAAACAAGCAGAAAGAATACACGAATACTAACCAATTAACGGGGGGAAATAATGAATCAGAGGGATAATATAACAGCATACTAATACACTCCACGCCCCACCTCCTCTACTACCCACACTCCTTACCCCCCCCCTTACCCCTTCCCGATAAGATAGGAGACACCTTCACCGTCCGCTCCACCCCCCCTTACCCCGTCCCATAGATAACCCCCCCCCCTTGCTCTCGACCTCTCTACCCTACCCTCCCACCCAACCCCAATTTTACAAAAATTAGGAGGTCAATGATTAACATCTGTGGATGTACTGCTATCAAAAACTTCAATAAAAATATTTTTAAAAAAAGTTTGTCATGTTGGGCAAGTTTGCTGTAGATCAGTGGTTCTCAACCTGGGGTCCTCAGAGGTTTTTGGCCTACAACTCTCAGAAATCCCAGCCAGTTTACCAGCTGTTAGGATTTCTGGGAGTTGAAGGCCAAAAACATTTGGGGACCCCAGGTTGAGAACCACTGCTCTAGATGCCTCATTAGTGGGGTTCAGTGTGCTCTGTGGCTGCAGGATGAACTGTAGCTCCCATCATGGTGGGTCAGTTTTCCTCAACCCCCTCCAGTAGGTTCAATTGGTCATGGTGGTTCTATGTGCTAGGTTTGGTCCTGTTCTATTTTCGGTAGTGGTCACGGTGTCTATGGATGTAGGTGAACTAGAACTCCCTGAAATGAAGGTCAGTTTTCCTCAAACCCCTTCAGTAGGTTCGTTGGTCATGGGGGTTCTGTGTGCCAAATGTGGTCCAGGTCCATTGTCAGAGGGGGTCACAGTGCTGTATCTTGATGCAGGGTGAACTACAACTTCCGTGATGTAGAGTCAGTCCCCCAAACCCCTTCTGTATGTTCAGTTGCTGCTTAGGTCTGCTTAGTTTGTTATGCAAACAGAGTTGAAAAGAGTAGGAAAGAGTTAAGGGATAGACGGTGGAGCCATGCAAATTCCATACCAATGGAGAGAGAAAGGAACACTGGGATATGGTGTTCAATATAACCTGCAATGTCACTGGAGGGAGGGCCATTGCCGTCGCCTGCGTAATGTGAGCAATAGCTGTTTGTGTAAACAGCTCCACATACACATTTTCATTTTTATTATGCAGATAGAAAATAGATATCCTGCTTCTTCTCTCCCAAAGAAGATTCAAAGCAGCTAACACTAAAAATCATACAATATGTAAGTTAAAATCTAAAGCATACAAATGTTAAGATAGAATTAAACACAGGAGTTATTTAAAAAATACATAGTTTAAACCAATAAAACTATTTAAAAATATTTTAAACTACGGTACATAAAACACAGCACCTCCTGGCTTGGTCTTTAAAACTCTCTTCTTTCAAAGCCTGCTTCAGAAGAAAGGTTTTAGCCTTTTATTGTGGCCTATATCTCCTATATAAATGCCATAGTTCATATATTTCAAAAGTGTCACTTGGATCCCATCTACATTGCCAAATAATGCAGTTTAACTGCATTAGAGTGCATTATATGACATTATAGACTCAAGTAATCAAATTCACTGGCTTGACCTTGAAGGAGCTCAGGGTGACAACAGCCGACAGGAAGTTCTGGCGTGGGCTGGTCTATGAGGTCATGAAGACTCAGAAACGACTAAACAAATAAACAACAACAACAACAATCAAGTTCAATGCAGTGAACTGCATCCTGAAACTGCATTATATGGCATTGTAGATGCAGCCTTAGATACTTTAACTGCCATATAATGCGGTGGAATGGAGGAAAATAGACTTCACAATATCCAACAGAGAAATCCTGCTGTGTATTGGACCCAGTGAAAGTGTTCTTTTAGCAGTTGTAGTTTTTCGCAGCCATGTACTGTAGTACTGTGACAACTAGCAAGTTTCTACACAAGAGACAGTATGCACGACCCAAAGCATTCCAACATTTCAAGCAGTCAAAACATAAATCTGAAATGGCTTTCATCCTTTTGCACAGAGCAGGAGAGGATTCAGTCTGTTTTCATTTATCAGCAGCAGCAGTTCTGACTTAGCTCACCTGTGGCTGACCTCTGAAGGATGCGGCTTGAAGAGGCCAAAAGCAAAGAACCTTTTCACTTACTGAGCAAACTCTGAAAGGCATGCGACATAATAACTAATGACCACACTAATGTCCATGTCTATAAATCCTATACTTTGACAGTGTATCGGTTATTTGATATAGAATGAGATGGCAACTGTCTTCTTCTATATCATCAGCATCAGAACATGAGCCCCCGGTGGCACAGTGGGTTAAAACCCTGTGCCGGCAGGACTGAAGACCGACAGGTCACGGGTTCGAATGTATTTCTTTTTTCCTACAAGCAAAAGGTGACTTGGACAGGAAAATCTGTTGCACTGTGCCATTGGAGTACTTTTTTCTTCTAGCCTATTTTATATATTAGAACAAAATATCTCACATATTCTGCCAATAAGTTCCCCATTTACAGGACTTTTTATTGAGTGGATTTGGGGGTTCATTGGGATCAAGAAATACTCTGCACTACAGAATTATAACACTTCTATTCCATTTTGTGTTTTCTGACTCTGGGCATTAATGCAAAACATGCTTTGTTCAGAAAAATCCTTCTGTCTTTCAGGCTTTGTACAGTTCCCTCTGGTCTTTACAACATTGTGCTTATTAGTGCATAATGATACTTTATTTTTATTTCAGGATATCACCTGGCAAGATGAGCATTCAGCTCCTTTCTCATGGGAAACGAAAGTAAGTTTGCTAAGCTGTTTTCTACCTCTATGAATTTGCTTCACCTTCTAGCAGTTTTAAGTGCTTTTGACACCATGATCTGGTTGAATCAGTTGTTCAAAGTGAATGCAGATTTGGTTTTTAACAGATAGGGTACAGGTCATTGCACATGACTTCACTGAATATATCTTCTGCCAACATTGTATAAAAATGGACATTGTGTTCTTGAAATGAGTGTGAATAAAAATAACATCGTCCAACAAAAAGATTTTTTTTCTTGGTGTCTTGTTCTTTAGGCTTGTTCCTGGGGTTATTTGGGGTGCTGGTTCAGAAAGTTGCATTGGATAGACTGCATCAGTTTTAGATGAGCCAGCACCCCAAATAACCCCAGGAACAAGGCTAAAAAACAAGACACCAAGAAAAAACATTGTTAGGGTATGTTATTTTTATTTTTACTTTTAGTTTTTTATGGGCAAGCAGATGGCGACTGGTAGATGCCCATATGTTCTATATCTCAAAAACTAGAGCCAGTGGGGATAAATAAGTGCCATTTTTTGGAATCAGCAGGTCAAATATACCCCAGCACAGGGCTAAAATGTGAGGCACCAAAATGTGTGTTGGCCAGTGTAATTATTATTGAAATTTAGTGTTGCTTTTTTATCACTGCTTTGTCCTTGAAGGATCAGGGAAGCACAGAGATCCACTGCTTCATGAGCTTCCCAGCCACACTTAAAACTAGATTAGGTGAAGTGATGGCAATCACTGGTTCAGGGTCACCCTGTATCCCTTCCTGAATGCACACTCAAAACATGATGTAGCTACATGTAGCTCCCATGAATAATCAGTGACTATCCTCCCCTTATTTGCAGCTAAAGCTGGTGTAGCATAGCGGTTAAAGCTGTGAGCTCTTGAGTCAACAAGTCCCTGATTCAAACTGTAACAAAGGCAACCTGCCGTGCCCAATTTGTCACCTCTCCACCTTTTTCAGCATAATCGCCTCATTTACAGTAATGCTGCTGTGCGATACAGGACTTTTGTAAAGGCTATAAAGAGGACAAAGCATTATATAAATGCAAAGTTGATTATTTTAATATAACACCTGTTCTCAGTCACGGCAGCTTAGAGCTGAGGGTGTGGGGGGAAAATGTTGCGTCTTTTAAAAAAGTTCTCTTTAACAGGATTACCTAAATATAATTGCAGAACAAGAGTATTATTATTATTATTATTATTATTATTATTATTATTATTCCACTCATTATTTCTCTATAAAAAAGACTCATATTACAAGTTTGGTCTATATTTTCCAAAATCCCTCAGCCATCATGGCCAGGGTTTTGAGGAAATTGTAGCCCATGATTATAAACATGTTTCATTATTTTCCCAGTAATTAAAAGTGTGATAATAGTATTGTAGTGGTGAGGTTTTAAAAGTGGACAAACTGAATAGCTCTAGTGCTAGTCTTTTCTATGACATTTTCTTCCAGTTGCAAGAAGGATCTGGAACCAATTTGGAAACACAGTGTCTAGAATGTCAGTGGTCTAGTCAGCAACTCACTCCAGTGGGTTTAATTCTGGCAGGAAATGAGTGCATTGATTAGAAAAGATGTGCAATCTAAATTTCTAAATGTTTTGAAGTTATTAACCTTTGTTGAAGGGCTTTGACTTTCCTGCAAGAGAAGGGGTTGGGCCACTTCCTCTCTCTGCTGTACCTCCTTCCCTGGATCATTTTTAGTCCAGAGAGAGAGAGAGAGAGAGAGAGAGAGAACTTGCTGTAAGAGCAGCACTTCACCTGGACAAGATAATCGTGATGGAGGAAATTATCTTGGGAGAAGAAAAAATGGGATGAGCCATGTTCACCCCTTTCCCTACCACATTGGGATGTGTTAACGCTGCAGTTGCCCTGTCCCAACCCATGTTGTTTGAACATTTTATGCAGTATTGTAATAATTGTGGTCTTAGAAAAACCTAAAAGGCCACTCAGTGTGAAAACCTGTATGCTCTGTATTTCAGTGAGATTTTAATTCTTTTTTCACTCTTGACTCATCTCTCATCTTTGTATGGTCTTTGAGCATCTGGGCTTTTTGTGTCTCACTTTTCCTGTCATATTTCATTTCTCACCTAAGCATTAGGAAGAACTTTTTGATGATATGCATTGTTTGACAACTAAATATGTTGCTTCAAAGTGTGGTGGAGTCCTATTTTTTTGGAAGTTTTCAAATAGAGGCCGGGTGACCTACTGTGGAGAGTGCTATGATTCTGTCCCCCTTCATAGCAGGGGTTGAATTGGATGGCTCTGGTGGTCACTTCCAACTCTATGATTCTTCTCTTTTTCTCTACTCCTCAGTGTGTGTATATGTACTTTTGTATTTTCTTTTTGAATTTTCTTAACCTGAATGAAGTTTGCTTGAGTAGGAGAATGACATGCAATATCTGAAATTCTAGATCTGAGCTGAATACTGCAAACAGCTGCTTATTGCTTTTCTTATGAGGTGACAGTTCTTTGTGAAGCAGCAATTGAGATTGGCAACAGAGAAGCAACAAGAGGGAAAGCCAGATTTACCTTTATTCTGGAGCATACCAGTGTATGGTCCTCAGGACTCAGGAGGTAACAAAGTCATGAACCCAAAACCATAATTACCATACTTCTAGCAGTTCATATTTTTGGAACATAGTCATGTTGACAAACCAACATTTTCAAAATAGGGTTTGGCTTAAGATAGAATTTTTATTCAATGGCTAAGAAAACATTCTGCTTTTAGGCAGTTGTGCTTTTCTTAACCACTGATCTCAAAATACAATGCTTGGCCTGCCTGATTGATAGGAAGTGTCTATAAATGTTATAGATGACATTGTGACATTGACAGTTTGGGTGGACTGTATGGCAGTAATAGAGGGTTTTAAAAGAGGAGGTGACTGCCATGTTGGGTATAAAATAGAATCATTGGGACCTTTTTGGGCTGTAGCTCAGTGACAGCACCTATTCTTGGAGAAGGTTCGGTTTCTGTTGTCTCCAGTTAAAAGGGCATTGAAGCTGGTAATGAGAAAAACCTCTGACAGCAACTCTGGAGATAGAGGAATGAGATGAATTTATATATAGCTGTTTATGGAAACCATCTCTTTTTTCAATATTTGTCAGTGAAATTCAAGTTTTGCCTAGACTTTTCTAATCAGTTTGAAAGCTGCAATATGGAGACTAACTACATGGTAGTATCCAATCTGATGAAGTGAAACATGAAATCAATTTGCAGCCTCTAGAAGCAGTTTGATGTGGTCTCAGTTGCCCACTACGTTGTCAGAAGCAGTTCTTAGGTTCATGTGCATATGAGGATCCATAACTGTGGACCCAAACCCTGGCCTCATTTCACAGCTTAATCTCCAAGCTTGCATTTGCACAGGCAGCCAGAGTGGTAGAGTATAGGACTCTGATATCTGGGGATCTGAATGCAAGCAGTTTCTGGAGCTTCATTCTCATCATTCTGCAAGGAATCTATATATTCCTTGATTTGACTGTACCTCCCATCATTCCACAAGTATGGCCAATACATTTGTAGGGCGCCTGATTGTGTAAAGTTGGGATATGCTGTTCTTAATTACTGTGACAAGCAATGTGTATGAAAGGAAAATCCAAGCACAAGTCCCGTTTTGGTGATGTTTGGATCTTGATTTCTTGTTAACTTCTAAGATTGCAGGATTGGTTTTAGTTGTTTTTCCCTTTTAAGGATTTGTTTTAAAAGCCAAAGAGACTCTGCTTTAGCATTTTCTTTACCTTTCTCAGACCTCAGTGACTGGTCAGTGGTTTGCTATACTCTATCAGTGCAGCCAACTATTAATTCTGGTTTGAATTAACTAAGGCTTTTGCTTAGTTAACTGTGTCTTCAAAACAGATATGGTTTTAGTCAAATTTAGCCATTTTTGTTCTGTTTTTCTTTTGTTCCATTTCTTTCTGGTAAATGCATCCTAGAATCCTTAATTCTGTATTTAAACCCCTCTCCCCACTTTTCTGGGTTTTGCAACTGCCAAGCCAAACAGTTTGTTTTGGCTATGTGTGCTATCTGCTTAACAACATACTCCGCATTCCCAACAAGTGAATAAGATACAAAAATAACTCAGCAAATTCTTAAGGTCCTGTCTGTTTTTAGTGCAGAGTCAAGTATTTGTCCGTTCAGATTTAGTTGGTTTCCTTGTGATGTGGGGACTGAGCCACGTCAGTTTAATACTTGCCTGGTTTCATATGGCTTTTGCCACCTCTTGACTGTGGTGGCAGAAGCAGGGCACATCACCCTCAAGGGGCACTTTTGGGAAAGCCAGGTCTTCCATGCCCGCTTCTTGAGTAAACCCTAAAAACAGGGATGGGAAATCTCTAGCTGGGGGACAAATGTATGCTGTCAGGTCACCTCATGTGACCAACAAGTTCTTCTGCAATATATCTGGCCAGAAATAAGAAGCTTTTTAAAAAACGGAGGATGTATTATATAGGGCTGAACTGTCCCAGGCAGCTAGTGCACAGGACTGAGAGGGCCTAAAACAGGCATGGGTAGACTTAGACCCTCCAGATGTTTTGGACTTTAACTTCCACAATTCCTAACAGCCAGTAGTTGTGGGAGTTGAAGTCCAAATCACCTGGAGGGCCAAGGTGTGCCCATACCTGGCCTAGAGTTAGTGAATGTGATCGTGAAAGTTGTCTGTGTAACATTCGAAGTTGGGTTGTGATAAGACAGAATGTGTTTACATTGAAAAAGTCATAACCTAAAATATAAGAGGAAGCAATTACATCCTGAATGAGAAAGAAATGTTTCAGGCAGAGTTTTTTTTTTTTTTGAGGAAGAGCAGAACAGTGGTTGCAACCTAGGGTTGACTAAGTAAACATTTCCACTCCCAGCAGCCTTTTTTTCTCCTCCCCTCCCCTCCCCACTGAAGCCCCTCAGAACTGTGGCCTCCCCCACAGTTATCTGAAGCAATGTTTGAGGATGCTGAAGGAAAGCAGAAATGACATATATTTCCTTCCTATTCCACTTCTTAAACTGGGACATCTGTGAAAACCCGCATTGGATTCCAGCCAATGAGCTTAAATCTCATAATTCTGGGTTAGATGTTGTGTCCTATCTTTAGTTCCCAGTCTGGGCAAAAACCCAGGTTATCACTGTATGACAGCATTCCATTTTTACCAGTAACTTTATTTTGAAAAAATCCTTAGTAGGTCAGAAGGTTCGTGTCTTAAGTGGTACATTACCGCCTACTGCCTAAACATACAGAGAAAAACAGGGCATGCAATTTGCTTGAAACACAAACCGCTTCCAGGTATTCTAGGCTGAAAGCATTCAACCACTCTCCCCTCATTAGTTTCAGTACACTTTTGTCTGGAAGAGCACTCTTAAGGGCTTCGTTGGCCGCTTTACCTTGCCTCAGGAATGTTTTCTCAGTGTCCTTTCTCCAAAGATATGGATGACCCCTGGATGACTGGCTCCCACTCTCCCAGAAAGCTACTGGTAGCCATTTCTCTCTGTGTCTAAGGCAGTTCCTGGCAATCTATCCCATTCTAACATGTCCAAAGTCAACTTGTCCCAGCTCAACTCTGTCTGGGCTTTACTCACTGACATTACGTTAACTTTATTTATTTTTTTCATTGATATATGTTTCTGCAGAAAATACTGGCACTTACTTCAGGAGAGCACACTACTTCAGTGCAGCAGTTTTAAAATTATCATGTAAAGCCTTTAGGTGACTGTTCCTAGAAGCACAAGTTTTACCATTTCCAAAGAACCGTGTGTTCAAAACAGATATGTGTTCAATCTTCCTATTTTTTATACCATGTAAGCCAGGAGAGGCAGCTGGTGCAATGAACTGAGTGCTGCACTATGATTCTGGAGACCAGGGTTCGATTCCTCACTTGGCCATGGAAACCCACTGGGTGACTTTGGGCAAGCCATACACTTCTGGACCCAGAAAGCCCCATGATAGATTCACTGTAGGGTTGAAAATAATTTGAAGTCTCACAGCAACAACAAAGCCAAGATGGATAGAAGTGACCTTCCTTTGTGTTCTTAGTCAACACAGTGACAGTCTTAATTGCCTATTCCAATGTCAAGAGGTTTTTGCTGTTGAGGTTTCTTTGTGTGTGTCTTTAGATATTCTCCAAGTATTTAGCCTCTCATTATAGATTTTGAATCAGAGCAATATGTTTTGAGTATGTCTTGAGCCACATTAAGTGCACTTCATTTTTCCCCACTTTGTGAAATATTTTAATTTTGTTAATTTTTGAAATATTTTACAGAATTAAATTCTGATTCAGTTTCATTTTATGTAAATTCATATCAAACATCCCAATTCATATCCCAACTAAATCCCACACCATATAAATCATTAGCAGTAACACTTGGAGATGGATGAATTTGTACAGTATCCCACATAGAAGGATTCAATCTGTCCTAACATGTACCAAGCTTATCATTTTAGACAGAAAGGTTCACCCTAATTTTCTCAATGGCAGAAGTCACTTAGCTTTTCCATAATAGCTCCAAAGCCTAAGGGCTTCTTCTATAGCTTTGAACTACTTCAGTCCAAGTGAGTTGGTCCAATGAGTCTTTTGGTTCTGCTCCATAAATGAAGAATAAGAATAAAAATGTAGGCTGGGATTCTGAAGATGGGAATAAGACTCAAGAGAGAAAGGAGTACTAGGTTTCAGGAGCATTTTGATGGGTTGTTATTATTAGGGGTGTGCCTTCAAGGTGCTTCCGGTGACCCTATCATGGGATTTTCCGAGGCTAAGAGTGTCCGATTTTCCCAAGGTCACCTGATGAGTTTTCATGATTGAGTGTACACCATACCCCAAATTCCTTGATTAACAAATTCAGCAGTTTTCATGGAGGTGTCAAAGGAGGCAAGATAGGATCCCATATGAAAGTTTGTACAGGGAATTGTCATAGCTGCAGGCCTTGTGAAGTGTGTCTAGATGTTCAATTAGTCTAAGGGTTTGATTGAACATGGGGACATTTGATCAGTTAGGCTTGAGAGTAAAGAACTTCACTACTGGAAAAAAGTATATGTTTTATGTGGGATATACCCGTTTCCCATTGTAGTGTATTTGCTTCTAGTAAATTAGTGTTTTATAAAGAATGTTTGTTTGGATGATACATCAGTGTTAACTAGGATTTTATACCTCTTCTCTGATTAAGTTTTGTTTGGTTTCCCACGTCATGTCCATAAAAGAAGCATGAAAAATCATCATATTAGTACTCAAATGTGCTGCGCACATCTGTGTTATTAGCATCTTATGTTTAAAAGTGTGTGTGTGCTTCTTTATATTCAATGTTCAATTTCCGCTTACCTTAAAAACTGTAATATTTGCCAGATTTTGAATTCTGCCCACGGCTGTCCTATATCAGGCACTAAGCCTCAGTCGAACAGATGTATTCCCCTTCTCCATGACCCCCACAATTCCCTCACTTGACCTTTCAGATCTTATCCTCCCAAGTGTTTTTGTCACATAAAAAGATTTGGAAATTCATTACTGATTTGTTTTAATCTCCAAACAGAGTCAGATGGAATTCAGCATTGCTTCTCTATCCATACAAGAACCAAATGGAGTGACAGCACAGAATGAACAGAAACAACCTGTCAAAACTGCTCCAGCCCCTCCACCCCCCAAATCCTCACAAGTTGGCAAAACGCCTGGCTCAGATGGGCTTATACCACCCAGGAAAGAAGAGGAAGCCTCTTTCTGGAAGATAAATGCGGAGCGCTCCAAGTGTGAGGGTGAACAGTCTCCGTTCTATTCTCTTACCCCAAGCCAGATCAAATCCATGGAGAAAGGCGAGAAGGTCCTTCAGCCCTACTACAGGCAAGAATCTGGTCCAAAAGAGGCAACTAAAACAGAGAAGCTGAGTAGTGCTAAGCCTGAGAAGGAGGTCACCCCAGTTCTTGCTGCAACATCAATAGAATGGGAAAAAAATCAGCCTGCTCCACCTTCGTTTAATGCCCTTAATCCTCCTGAATCATTAGAAGAGTCACCAGCTACTGGGACCAAAAGTGAAGACAGTGATAGTGGCTTTCTTTCAGATCTGCATACGCTTGGTCAGGTAAATATTTAATCCCTTGTCTTATTTATTAGAGTGCTTTGTAAAACAACCAACAAAAACACATACGTTCCCAAATGCTCAAAGAGATTAGGTATTCTTTGACATTATAAACTATCTGATCTTGTTTTTCTTTCCAAACAGCTTCCTGCCTTCTCTCTCTCTTTTTCTTTCTCTCTTTTTTGCCCATAGATTAGAAAAGCAAAGTACTGGTTGGGTATCCCTTATCCATACTACTTAGGAACAGAGGTGTTCCAGATTTTGGATTTTTTAAATTATGGATTACTTTTTTCGTTTTATTATGGGAAATGAGATATTTTGTATTGGGGACCCAGGACAATTTTGGATTTTAGAATCTGGATTAGAAATACCCAACCTGTAATTCTAGCATTATTATTAATGTACTGTCATTTCCAGAGTGTGGGGGTGAGATATCTATTTATATATACAGTTATAGATCAGGGCAGGCAAAGATGCTTTTGTTTCACCTCTAGGATGTTGCAGTTAATGGCGAGGAATGCTCAAAGTGACAGGCCAACAACATCTGAAAGGATACCATTCCCACCTGCTGTATAAATAAATACTTGGCTACATCCATGAATTTGCTGACATTTGGATTGCATGATATTCTTTAACCTGTTATATGAACATGACTTCAACGAATGTCTTTCGGATTAAAGCAGGGGACTTGAATCACTCTGGAGGACCTAGCAATGCCTATAGAAGTGTTCTCTCTAGGACTGCAGCCTGTTGCTGTGGTATTCAAAGCTCTCACCCACTCATTTTAAAAATGGAACCCATACTTTGTGTGACAATCCTGGATGACTTTTAAAAATTGGATACTGGACTATACGTTTTGGATGATGATACCCAAGTTTGTGAATTAATTTTAAAAATTTTAAAAATTCTTAAGAAACCACATGTTGAATTAATTAACTATTCAACAAATGATTATTTTCATAAACATAGTTGTCTGTAATTTTCTTTCCTATTAGATTACTCGTGGTTTTCGGACTGTTAACCTTTTACCAGCTTTCAGGTTATTTTTACTCTGAAGCTCTGCTGAATACCACCAACATTTCATGTTAATAGATTCTGAACAAGGAGGGTATTAAGGGCATGCGGCATATTATGTTGACCCCGCCCCATACTCATGTCTGTATCCTTGTGCTTTAGGTGGAAGTTTCAAAATATAGGTGAAACAATAACAGGGATAGTGCAGCCTTTTATCAAACTCTCCTTTTCAGCCAAATCATAGATTATATCAGAATTGAGATTTTGATTAACCAGGATTGCATATATGAACTGTGCCAGATAAGAGGGAACTATAAATTGAAGGCAAATCCTTTCAGAGATTACAACATAAAGCTCCATTCTGTTAAGTCAAAAGCTTTTTAACTGTCAGCAAATGCAATTGTATACTTATACAGATACTCTTGTTCCTATTTTTTCTTGTTTTATTGAAATGTAGCATAGTTATAACGATACTATCTAAATAAATATTTAGTTCTTCTTAGCAATGGAAGCACATATGTTGTTTATTTCTTCCTGCAAGAAGTATCAGAAAGTGTTTTCTCCCTCTGAGCTTCACTTTCCATTATGGGACCATTATGAATGGTCCCATTAGAAATCCACATGGCTCTTTGGATGTAGGATACATGGGACTTTGGGTGTGGTTGGACTAAAGCTCCCATCATCCTTTGTCCTCACTCCCACAGAATCCCTAAAAGTATTTTAAGTTGTTCCGGATGGGTATCTGCCAAATTTTGTCCAGATCAATGTTGGTGGGATTCCCACTCCTATTCGTTTGTGGGTGGACTACAACTCCCATCATACTCTGTCAACACCCACCCCCAACCCTCCAATATTTTTAAGTTGGTCGTGATGGGTTTGTGTAGCAAGTCTGGCCAGATCTATCGTTGGTGTGCTTAACAGTTCTCTCTGGATCTCGGTGGACTAAGCCCCCATCATCCTGGGTCAATCCCCCAAAGCCCATAAATATTTCCTCCCCAGCCCTGCTAGTATTTGAAGTTGGTCATGTTAGGTATGTATATAAAGTTTGGTCCAGATCCATTGTCTGTTGGATTCACAGTGCTCTCTGGATGTGGGAGCTGCATATTTTGACAATGTATACAGATATTCGAGTGTCTATTACACTGGTTATTTTTCAGTTTACCATAATCTTTTCTGACTTTTATGTATTCAATTTGTCCAAATGTTGTGTCCCTGCAGAGCAATTCAAGTAATGTTATCTTGAAGACGGGATTTGATTTTCTGGACAACTGGTAAAGAGACACTGAAGTAGCATCTGCTCACTTTTGGAGAAAGAAGAGGAGCATCTTTTCTGTTTCTATTCTCTCTCATTGTTTTGTTCTTGGCTTTTTAAATTTTTCTTTTAAAATAGTATTTTTTCCAGCTCTTTTTAAATGTTGCCTTTGTACTAACACTTTTTTGTAAAACCAGATGGTATTTGTATTTTGGAATAGTGAAGTGTTAGAAGTGTTTTTAATTATTATTATTATTATTTTATTATTATTATTATTATTACTCTATTCAATTACTAGCCATGATGAGGATGGCCTGGATGTATTTCTTTACTGTTATATGTCTATTAACAGCAAGGTGAAGAAACAGAGAAAGTGTGAAGATGCCTTACAGGGGCACACAGTTTTGTTCTGCACACTCATGGGAAATGCTAACAAAGTGCAATGAAGAGAAGAACCATTAATATTGGTGGGGTGGGGAATTAGATTTATTAAAGCACAATGCTTAAAAACCAAAATACATTATGTCTGTTTAAAATAAATTATACAGTAAATAAGGCACTACATCTTTTTACTTATTAAAAATGTTATAGGCATGTATAGGTACAGCAGGTTAACTGCTGAGCTGCTGAAGTTGCTGACCAAAAAGTTGGCAGTTTGAATCCGGGGAACGGGGGGAGCTCCCACTGTTAGCCCCAGGTTTTGCCAACCTAGCAGTTCGAAAACATGCAAATGTGAGTAGATCAATAGTTACTGATTCACGGCACTCCATGCAGTCATGGTGGCCACATAACCTTGGAGGCATCTACAGACAACGCTAGCTCTTCAGCTTAGAAATGGAGATGAGCAACACCCCCCCAGAGTCGAACACGACTAAACTTCATGTTAAGGACAAACCTTTACCTTTATATAGTTTGACCTGGCTTATTTCTGTTGGTGTTTAGTGGTATGCAAAACATAACTGAGCAGAGTTACCTGATACTGTATTCAGAAATAATTTTGATGTGGACATGGCATAACTAAGGGGGAATGTTTAAAATAGGCATATGTGTATTTGGGACAATAATTTGCCAGAAATAAAGTAATAGATGGCAAAAAGAATCAGGATATGAAAAATTAAAATATAACAAAATAAAATATATAGAACAAAGAAGCTCCTTTCTTTGTATAAATTTAGAAGACCACTGCAAAACAAAACCGTGCAGTGAGGAATGTAGTCTCAGAGGGCAACTGATAGTCTTGGTGCTTGTTGGCATTCCTATAAAAGTGCCATTAGAAAAGTGTACCATAATCCCTTAAGGGAGTGGATTGTTTTGTTCCTCTTCTCCCTTTCAAGAATATATATTGTCATCCACCCTATTGCAAAGCATTGTGAGATGGTTTGTTTATTGCTTTTAAATGTTTTTAAATGGCATCTTTTAAAGAAATGAGTAATTTCTGGTGCTATTTCTAGGAGCAGAACTCCAGCTTGTCACATACGCCTTGGTGTTCTGTTTTTGTTATTGATGTTACATATAGGGCGCTCTTTACATGAGGGGGAACATGCAAAAATGGTGCCTCCCAGCTGTAGCTTGAAAAAAAAACTACCAACCTACCACTCAGGTTACTACCACCATCTTTCTGCTGCATTGTAGGTCAGGCTTCTTTCTTGTCTAATGTTTTAAGATATATACAAGTAGAACAGCTATGTCAGTTGAAAGTGTATCTTGAGAAGCGCCCTGTAGCCTTCTATCCTGACCCGATCCCCCACACCTTCACGCCTTAATTTCCCTTTACGCACAAATGTTATTCTGTCCTATCCAACGCCAAAGGTGACTAGCCTTCTGAACTTTTAATCTTCAGAATGCAGTTTCCAGTGCAGTGACCAGCTGTGGTGGCTCCTTGTGCATGATTTCCAATGCCATATGGAGATCCTCCAATGTTTGCATTGGGATGCAGATGTCAACATCCGGTTGTAGAATGATGATGGGAGTTGGGGTTCAACATAGCTGGAGGGTACATAGTTGAAGAATGGTGCTGTATGTCAAAAAGCAAAGCACCTTCTCTTCCTAAAGTTAATTACTGGTTATCTCCACAATAGCTATGATGAGATAAGGCCATAGTAATCTTAAAAGGTTTCCATTTCCTAGACCATTGACTAGTGCAACCAAATCCTGAAGATTCAGGTTACATCTGCATAAATTTGGTGTTCTTTCTCATTTCAGTCCACTTGCTATTCAGAGTGCTACTCCCTTTATTGTATTTTGTAGTCAAGCAATATATGGTATGTTCCTCAAGTATCCCCAGTGAATTAAGAGTTAACTTTATTTCTTCTGTTTTAACAGAAGATAAGTGTGGGAACAACACAAACATGAACAAATATGGTTTTCAAGACTGAATCACATTTTTATATGTTGTCTCTCTCACTCATGTGCACACTGAAGTGACTGTAGTAGAAGGGAAGGGTGGGATTTGTGTGCCCCTTCCAACTTTTCCTATCTAGTTTGGAACTAAAGCCCCATGTGGCATGTTTGAAGATGGAGCTCACTCTCACAGTGGAATGAACCAAAACTTATAACGCATCTATATTGTAGAATGAAAGCAGTTTGACACCTCTTGGACTGCCATGTTTCAGTGGATTGGGATCCTGGGAATTGTAGTTTGGTGAGACACCAGCACTCTTTGGCAGAGAACACTTAAAATCCTGCAAAACTACAACTTTCAGGATTTCAAATCATTGCCCCATGGCAGTTCAAGTGCAGTCCAACCTGTACTAATTCTTCAGTGTAGATGCACTTTTAATCACACTTAGTGTAAACATCTTGAAATCAATTGAACTTAAGTCCAGATGAAAATCTTCATCTTGCTATTGGATCCAGCATCAAACCATATCTAAACTTTTTTCCTTCTTGGGTATGATTACACAGGTTTTGTGTTGTTGTTAATCCACCTTGATTGAAGTCCCATTGTTTTCATTGGGTTTTTATCTAAGTGTGTTTACTTTTCAATCCATCCTCCTGTGAATTCTATAGTGACATCTCCCAATGCCACACAACTGGGGGGGGGGGGGGGGGGGGGGTTGTGTAAATATGAAGTGGTTGCAAGTACCGTGACAGTGTCACATTTTCAAGGTTACCTGACATGACTATTCCAAACAGCAAAAGTTTGAAGCAATTTTAATCACGAGGAAACCTGTAGAGTCAGTGAAAACTTGGATAACATAGTTTAATGCTACAGGGTTTTATTTCCAAGTCACTGTAGACATTAAAACAGGTTTTTAAATATATAAATGCTGTTTTTTAAAAAAAAGCAACAAATCTGTCTTTTTTAAAAAAAGTTGAAGTTGAGCACAAATTCTTATGGAAAGCACTTTTAGAGGTATGGAAAAAAGCGTTTTTTAAACAAGCTTATCAAAAGTTCAGAAATATAAAAGCATAAATGCTCCACCTCGGGTACTCTTTTCTGTGCGGACAAATGCAAGAATGAGATAGTTGCAGTTTTGACAAACACTACAGTAAACTGTCTATATTTGTTTACTTACAGAAAAGAATGTCCTAAGGTTAAGAGGAGCATCTTAAAGTTCTTTACTTTACACATAGAAAATTGATTAATGGATGGTATCAGTATTTGCTCTCTGTATTTCATCTTATATGGTTAGAACATCTTCCTGTTGCTATTATGTCTGTATGTAGTCCTCTGCATTAAAATGAGGCTGTACAGGAGAATGTCTTGGTGGATTGTATGCATTGAAAGAAGCCAGCTGTATGCTACAGAACCTGCGCTCATTCTAGCCCTTACTCTGCTTCAACTTAAAATCTGATGCTTCTCCCTTTCTTTAATGTGTTTTTACTGTTGTTCTTATTCTTACTTGTACTTGGTCACATTTTATATATGATTCTTAATTAAAGTCAACTGACATAGACCAATGTCACTGTCTGTCTCGTGTTGTCTCTGCTGCCTTATTATTCATTGTCCTGTGGACTTTTGGATGTTGCGCCATAAGGCATGTTTGTTTACCAGTTACCCATAGCAAATTCCAGATGAAGATTGAATTTTATCTTATTTTTAACTGTCAGATTCATGGGCATAAGACTGAAAATAAGATCTGCCAGGCATGATGACTATATATTCCCTCTGGTTCCAGAATATTATCAAACTAGTAGAGTTTAGAAGCTTGTGAAGGTTCTTTGGGCAACAGATTGGTCACTGAGTAAAGAGAACGCTGGACAAGATTACTTTTTGTTCTGATCCAATATAACTCTTATGTTTATGATGGGTAAATAGTTCAGATATAAGGGTCAGAATTTTTGAGGACTTGTATCTTCATAAGTAGACTTATGTCTGTAGAAATTGGACAGTTTCCTAATATCTGTATCCACCAAAAGACTGCTGTTACATTACCATTACCACATAGGGAAGCTAGCAAAAGGACAGGTACATAATAGGGCCAATGCGCATTCCAACAATAGGGAAATGTGCACCTATTACAGAATCATAGAGTTGGAAAAGACCACATGGACCATCTAGCCCAAGCCCCTGCCATGCAGGAAAAGCACAATCAAGGTACCCCTGCAGATTGTCATCCAGCCTCTGTTTAAAAGCCTCCAAGGAAGAAGCTTTCATCCAACTCCGAGGCAAAGGGTTCCACTGCTGAACAGCTCTTAAAATCAGGAAGTTCTTCCTAATGTTCAGGTGGAATCTCCTTTTCTGTAATGTGAACCCATTGCTCTGAGTCCTAGTTTCCAGGGCAGTAAAAAACAAGTCTGCTCCTCTTCCTTACAACATTTTTTCAAACATTTATACATGGCTATCTATCATGTCTTGTCTCAACTTTCCTCTAGAGGCTAAACATATCCAGCTCTTTATGCTGCTGCTCATAGGGCATAGTCTCCAGACATTTAATCATTTTAGGTGCCCTCTGGACATGTTCCAGTTTCTCAATTTTTCTCTTGAATTGTAGTGCCTGGAATTGGGACAGAGGATTTCAGGTGAGATCTGACCAAAGCGGAGCAGAGAGGCATCATTACTTCCCTTGATCTAGATCAGTGGTTCCCAACCTGTGGTCTGTGGAACTAAAATATGGTCCTTGGCCTCACCATTATTACACTGTTGCAATGAGAGTGACTACTGTCGCGAAACCCTCTTATCGTGCCAACGCTTATTAAATATGGTTTTCTGTGGACAAGCTGATGATGATTACTGGATTGCATATGTTCTGTATCAGAAACTAGTCCTGATGTGGTCTATCCAGTGCTTTCTTCTGAATCGGCACCCTAAACAACCAAATCAAATGTAAATTTGACCAAAAACTGATTCGTAACCCTTTTGGTACTGACGTTGGAGAGTGGTCCCTGGTCAAAGTGGTCCCTGGTTAAAAAAAAGTTTGGGAACCACTGATCTAGATACTATGTCATGCATCTTTTCAGTTCATTAATGGGGTGTTTTATTGTCTCTGCTATGCAGGGACACTAAAGTTCTGTAACATGCACTATGATAAAAGGATTCCTAGATCTTCCTTGCATGGGATCAGGAAGAGAAAGATGACAAATGATTTGGCAGGACCAGCTGGGATTGTCTGTTTTAGAAGAAGCAGGAAGGAAATTCAAAGTAAACATTGCAACTTCTGATTTCTTGCTATGTGACAAATCTGTAATGCTATGCAAAGTATTTGATCAGTTCTACCAAATGCAGCATATTTCCAACCATTGAGAAATAAGGATGAATGAGGGAGGAAATACTGTTATTCGGACACTACAAAATAAGTTTGTGGTCCTAAGATGCAGAGCTGCCAAGGACATGCATGCACTTAAGAGTATCCAGAATAAACCTTTAGATCAGCAGTGGGGAAGCTATGTCCCTATAAAAGCTATTGAACTACAATTCCTAGTATCCTCTCATGGGGTGTTATTTCTGGAGGTTTTGGTGTTCAGTAACTTCTAGAAGGCCATAGCTTTAATATTTGTTCAAACTGTTACTATTGGAACTGCAGTGTGTTGGCATAATTTACCCAGGAGTAATCCCTACTGGGTTTAGTTGAACATACTCCCTGCGGGGTTATGGTCCTAAACTTGCTGAGAGAAAAAAAAGAGCGACTAACTGGAGAGCCGATTGAAATGAATGACTTTGTTATTTATAGAGCAATCAGTCTCCTCCCTGAAGGTGACATAACATTGTTCTTCCTCTAATTAGATTCTTGGATATAACATTAACACACCAGATTCAACGAGCTCTTAGCTGGTTGCGTCAGCTGTCGTTGCACCTAATTTGAATTCAGTATTGGTCAGGCATTGTTTATATTTCCATATCTTGTTTATGCTTGTTTCAGCATTCAGTTGCTACACTCTCAATAACATGCATACACATCCTCAAATAGAGCTTTCCACTTTGTGTCTATTTGTGTCAAATACAGCTTTCTGCTTATATTTTTTATATCTACTGAGCCTATTATTTATCATCTTGGGTCTTAAATTTAGCAAATCACCTGTGACTACAGCAATTATTTGTTTAATTTTATCCCAGCTGTAGTCTCTAGAAGCCCCCGGTGGCACAATGGGTTAAACTCTTGTGCCGGCAGGACTGAAGACTGATAGGTTGGAGGTTCAAATCCAGGGAGAGTGCGGATGAGCTCCCTCTGTCAGCTCCAGCTCCCCATGCGG